GGGTAGGGGGGAGGAACAATCTGAGGTTGTTTGCTCGATCTCATCAGCAGTGGAGTGTCTCATTGACTCATTGGCCGATACAGAGATGGTTGTCAGGTGGCTATCCCACTCCCCTTGTGATAGGCTTATGATTCTCAGGGAACATAACGAGTTCGGCTAATCGCTAATAGATTCCTGAGGCTTCTGATGAGTTGAGGTTTGGTTTTAGGGGAATAAGCAAATAGGGTGTGGCTCCGCATCAGGAGCCCGTGTCATAAAATTAACCACTCGAAGCCAAAGCGCGTCATAATTCACTAATTCAACCATCTACTCCACCCCCTAACTCATGACATGGCCCATAGCCACCACGGGCCAGGAAGCAGGCTAGTGCAACCCTCAGGAACCTCAGGCAGGAAGTGAGCTCGCCCGAGCAGGAGCGGGGCGGGGTCGACCGGGGGGAGTGTGGTGTGCTGCGTCGCCTGGCTGGGCGGGTGGACCACCGCGGCCTCCCAGCATAGTGTCATCATGACTATGCAATCTGAAAACTGCAGACACGAAGAGAAGGGCATTCCTTGACCACAGACCAGACCACATCCATGCAAAAATTGGCGAGGCTACTGGCCAAATACTGGTACAGATGACATACGGGAGTACCATTACTTTTAGAGGAGACTTTCAGACAAAATCTGTGCAGTTTTTCCCAAATTACGGCAGTACCCCAAAGTTTTCTCTTTTCCCTCAAAATTCAGACATTGATCATTTGCCGAGGAGATGAATTCTGTCTTGAACATCACATAAGATAATAATTTCTATATTTGAAAGTAGGACTTGGTGCACGTGCTCACTGTTAAAGTTCTGAAAAGCAAGATCCTCTGTAACTACGAAGTATTTAACTTTGCAAGTGCTCGTTGTCCCATAATACCACGGTGACACTATGTGTATTCTACAACTGTACGTAAAAATCTAGAGTAGAAACGACCTCGATTCCACAATTCACCCCAAGGACAGTTCCGGTGGCTCCTCTCCTGCCCCGCCGCCCTCCCCAGCAGGGCCAGGCCTAGGAGGACGAGACGACCGGCCTGATTCCATTGTCCGAGTCATTCGCCGTGATATTTGATCGAATCATTCCCCGCTCTGCCCCCACCTCGCCTGCACAGCGCGACGCACGCAGCAGGGACCCGGCAGAGCCGGGAGGACACACGGGGCGACAGCCGCAAGGGCCGACTAGGGCCGACAGCCCAGAGGGCCGACGCTCCCAAGGACCGACAACCCTAAGGGCCGACAGCTACATCATTCCATACGGGCCGGAAGCCCCAAAAGGATGACAACCACAAGAGTCAATCGTCAAGGGCCGGCATCCAAAGAGCCGACAGCTCCAGAGAGCCGGGAGCTCTAATGAGCCAGAAGCTCCAAATCTGGCTCCAAGTAGCCCAGCCTGGGCCTGGGCCCAGGCTGGGCTCTACTTTCAAGAGTTTCCCCTTCGAAGATCATAAAAAAATATTTTTTTCCAACTTTTTTGCCCTTTCCGTTTTTCTTTGATCGCCCCTTTCAGCCCCGTGGGGGTGGTTGCCAGGATTTGACGTAGGCGTTTCTTTTTCTCGGAGTGAACCTTAAGATACCCTAAAAATTTGCAGTCTTTAGCACATATACTTCTACTGGAACAGACAGACAGACACACAGACAGACACGAGGTCGTTTGCATAAGCCCGCTAGTTATCTTTTCTAAAGCAGAAGGGCGGGCTACAAAAGGTTTTGTCAACTTGACTGATTTGTCATTTCGGTTACACAGGAAAAACAAAGGTAGGAATCAACATCCTTCTCTGGGTGTTGATGACTTTCGTGCCTTTACAGAGCGCACCTGGAAAGACACTAAAATGCAGCAAAGTTGCTAAATGTTAGTGCCTTTAGACACTTTCGTGCCTTTCTAAGACGTTAACATTCAGCACCTTTAAAAGGATGTTGATGGATTCCTAAAATCTCAATGTGACAGTATGTGAAAGTTATTCCCTACTCCCACTTTACAGAAAACACAATGTCCATGTTGTGCAACAAAAATGACTTTGCAGTGGACCAAGCACTTAGTTCGAGGGGGAATATTAACTAGTGTGAAAAAGTCTTGTTCTAATGACCGCCATAGCTTTTACCGAGGGGGCAAGAACTCCGGGAATCATGTGTACACCTGCCTGGGAATCATCACGATAAGAATTGATCGAAATCAACAGAAATCGTTTAAACTGAGCAGGAAACTAGCAGAACTGGTACAAATTAGTCGAAATAAGCGTTTTCTACCACTAGAAAACCAGAGAAATAAATATTGGCTGGCGGGAATAACCGGGAATCACTGGGAATCAAGTATTTCGGGAATCATGTGCACACTTCAAAAGGGAGTTATTGCCCCCTCGGCTTTTACCGAAGCGTAGCGGTCTAAAAGTTGATTAAGTGCCCTGAGGCCAATGTTGACGGCTAGCCTGTGTGAGGGAGAGTGAGAGATCGGAGCTGCTCCTAGTATCCGACCCACATTTTTCATGATGGGGCAGCTGCGGATTCTCCGAATCCCGGTTAGATTGGTTTATGTTTGGTCGAGCCCCGCTCCACTGCCCCTCCCCCTCCTACGCCTCGAAATTTGAGGGCGGGGAGAAATGGAGGCAGGAAGGGCTCGCCCACACGGCCCAGCGCGCACAAATATCGCATCAGACTACACAGCGCCCTGCGATTCACCAAAGCGGACGTACGCCAATCTGATACACTAGCGATCCTTCTACTTCTTTGCCACTAGTTGTTGGCGGTTTATAAATCACGGCGTCCTACCTGGATCCTGGCCTCGTTGAGTTTGGTCGTTCTTGCCAGCTCCTCTCTGCAGTAGATGTCGGGGTAGTGCGACTTGGCGAAGGCCGCCTCGAGTTCCGCTAGTTGTTCCTGAAACAAGAGGGCGGCGGTGGAAGTTCCTCGTCCATCCGACGTGTGGTGCAGACACGTTGTAGAGGGGCGGGAGTGGGGGGGGGGGGTCAAGTTATACCCGAGACAGGGAGGCGAACCGGAAGCCCTCTCGGAGAAAGAAGGAAAAGCCGAGGAAAGTACGACTTTTATAGAAAAAAAAAGTAACATAAGTTGTGGCGCAGCTGGCCCTCGTCTTACTTGAGTGAATGTGGTCCGGTGCCGCCTTCTCGCGGGGGTGGGACAGGTGTTGGAGGTGGGGTGGTGGCCCGTATGTCCCGAGCCGAGGCCGCCGACACCAACGCCGACGCCACCACCCGAGCCGGTCGGCGACGGTCCCCCGCTACCCACTAGGGTCTGGGGTTCGTTCTTCAGCTTTTTGAATGCACCCTCGAGTCCTGCAACAAACAGATTATTATACTTAAATTGCATGGTATTGTGATGTACTGCTTGCGTTCCATCTTTAAGACCCCCTAGAGGTTCTCTTTGTCGATTTTATCCTTCCTGCTTCATCCTCTGATAAATCTACACCAAAAAAGTATTTTCCTCATTAAAAGCTTTGATTTGAGTTTTCTTAAATGTAAATGTTCTTACTTCAACCCCTATTCACGCTCTAAACAAGTAATATTTTATTGACATAAGGACACTGATCTCAAAAATTTAAGGCTCTGCACAAGAGTTAAGGACTCTTTTTTTCGAAGGGCACTACAAAGAACACATTTTCGTTACGGTCTCTGTAAGTGGTGTAGGTAAGGTATCAAAAGGCACTAACACAACAACTTTAGGGAATTTTAGTGCCTCAGGGTTGCTTATTTATTGGTGCCTCTGTTAAGGCACTAAAATAAGGCCCCCCCCAAAATGGTGTGGAGTTGTACCTTTGCCTTTTCAAGATGACCATTTCGGTGTCCAGCAGTGTCCCTAGACACTTAGAAAATCTTAAAAGTCTAGCTCAAGTTTTTCTTTGTTAGAGGATAGACGTGCAGATAGACATTTACGCAGGCACCAGGGCTATTAAATAATCAAATTCTGATGATAAAAAAACCATTCTTGAAACAAGAACATCTCAAAAAACCTTTGATGGAGGTGTCGTTCTCGAAATGAGTGAGACAATTTTGCCTCGCTCAATCAGAGCGATGATTATAAGGCTCACCTTAGTTGAGGCATATGCATCGAATTATCACTTTGAAGGAGTAAGATTTCCATGGCCTCGCCTAATTGCAGTGAGGAACCTCACTCTAATAGATTGAGGATCGCAAATTATGACACAAATTGACTGAGAGTCAGATATCTCGCTCTCAGGACAGTGTCACTGATCTCGCTCTCCTGAGAGCGAGATATCCGACTCTAGCATTTTCAATGATGTGCTGAGCACAATCTTGACTTTACCTTGTGCCCAGTAAATAAAAGCGTTGTGATAAGAAAATGTGCCTGCAGGATTTAAGCACAAAATTTGCACCAAAAAAGCACGTATTCGTTTAGGGCATAGACATTTCAGGAAAGAGAAAAATATTGCTCGAAGCTTTCATCTTCTCCTGCTATGGTTTAGAATTTTGAACGTCAAAGAGTAAGACAAAAATGGAGAAACGTTGACGCGCTGAAAGAGCCTTCAAATTTATAGAGCCCTCAAGTTTTTAGCGAATTATTTTCGTATGATGGAACATTAATTTTTGTTTGGAAACCGAGTACTCTGTCGCAGTGCACACACGAGCGTTCTGAAATGTTTACAGCAGTTTGTCAAAAGTTCAAAAAAGTCACCAGTGTTTATATTTAATATGTCATTGGCGTATAAAAATTTAACACACGTCGACTTCCACGTGGCCACATGGTGGACATGCATTCACTGGAAATACAAAGGTAGGACTCGACTGATTTTAATGCATTTGCAAAGGTATTAAAATTAGCAACCCTGCAAAGGCATTAAAACTGCCGAAAGGTGTTAAAATTGAATGCCTTTGGACACTTTTGTACCTTTGCAAAGGAATTAAAATTTAACACCTCTATATAGAAAGGCATTAAGTCCTACCTTTGTGTTTCCAGTGTTAATTGATGGAAAAACGCCACATTTCTAATTTGCACAGGGACTGAACGTGTTAACAAGGAAAATGGAGGAAAAGTGGGCCGGGAGGGGGGGGGGGCACTTTTCATTCGGTTAGAAACAGTCTTGGGGACTTTTTAAAAATTGGATCGGCTGGATCAGGTTGGGCAGAGCAAACAGGACGTTGGGTGCCGCCGTGTGCGGCCCCCACCAGGCGCCGCGGCCGGCGTGGCGCCGCCCTGGTGCCGGTGGCGAGCTCCGCTAGTCTGGCAGCCCGCTCGCCACACAACCCAATCAGGGTCCATTGCCAACGCGATTATGCTAAACAGGTTAAGGGCCGCGCGGCGCACGGCGGCGCTCTGCCCAGGAGTCCGTTGGGGCAGGTCAGGGCCGAGACGCCCCGCCCCACCACGCCCCGCCACGCCCCGCCACGCCCCGCCATTCAGACAGAAGAGCGGGTTTGTTCGCGCCTTCGTCGGGCGCCGGTGGCTTGCGGCCGGCACGGCTGATGTTTTAGCTTTGGTGTGATCCGAAAACACCTCATGTGAAAGCAGACAGCATTTACAAGGTCAGACTGGAAATACGGAGAAGCCACCCACCTGCGACGTACGACGCGTACTTGAGCAGCGTCCATCCACCCCACTCTAAGGGGAATGGCCACACTGTCATTTTTTGACAGGCAAGAAACAGGCTTCTTCTCTCAAATGACAAGAGGATATCCGCCTTGAGTGCGCCCGTATAGTTCTCAACGGTTCACAATCTGGTGGGTTTGGTTTGGTGAACCGGGCGACCTGCTCACCCAGAAATTCGTAACTTTGATTTCACTTCCAAAAGTGCTGCCGTTTTCCAAAGCAAATTTTGAGTTTGATGTACAGCTAAATTTAGTTGAGTAACGGGAATTTCCTTGAAATAAAAATTTAATAATGTATCACTGTTGGGAGTTTTATCGTAATTTAACGAAAAATGTTCTGTTAATTTTTCTACACAAACTCTTCGTTATTTTAAAGTAACGAACTCTTTCGTAAAGTGACGAACAGTTTGTAACTCGGTTGTTGTCCCCAAAAAACGATCCTGAAACAAACATTCTAACATCATGATCAATTAACACTATTGAATCGTGATATTACGAAATAGTTGGTTACACCGCTACGAACGGTTCGAAATAATTGAGAAATAATACCCGTAACTTTTAATTACGAACAATTCGTGACAGATTATTATCGTGAAATGACGAAATTCATTAACAGTGTAAACCAATGACAACATTTTCTTTGGAACAACGGAGGCACCGCTAAAATTCTAGAGCACGGATCCATGCTCTCCGGACAGCGAGAATTTGCTGTAAATTTCCTCGCTCTCTAGAAAGCGAGGTTTGATTCAAGGTTTGATTTCCTCGCTCGATAAGAGCAATAGATTAAGGAGTGTCACTGTATTTGAGCGATAATTGGGAAACCTCGCTCTTTCCAAGTGAGGATTCCTAAAGTTAATCTCTCTTGATTTGACTGAGACTTAAGAATCATTCTCACTCCAGTATTTGCAGTGACTTTTTAAAGTGAAATGAAAGGTATGTTTTTCTGGGTGCGGCGACCATAGAACACGTCCGACTACGTAAGGTGAGAGGGAGATGGAGGTACGTGTTATAGAACGCCTGACTAACACCTGCTTCCGGGCGTGTCCCGGATTGCCACGATATTCTCCGAAGAACTTAAGAGCACTGCTTTTAAATTTTGTACTTATGCACTTGGGTCAAAATGAAAATTCTTAGTTAAGTTTGTTGTGCTCTCGGAGTGCTTTTCTTTCACGGCGCACTGCGACCACGCCACGCGCGCGCTGTACACTTTGCCAACAACTTGAATTGAAAGCCCTCTCGGGCGAGCAGGATATGAGGCTCAGAGGCGCCTCTGCGGCCGCTGGGGACACCCCTATCAGCTGCGGCAACGCACCCCTCCGTGTTGCAAGGTCACAGACCAGAAGGGATCGCGCGGACAGATACCCGCAGGGAGGGAGGGAGGGAGGGAAGGAGAGAGAGTGTGTGTGTAAGTAAGAGAGATCTGATGAGATAAGGAAAGATCGGGTTGCACAAAGTGGCAAGTGCGATACGGCAGGACGGCCGGCCAGTCGGGGCGACTGCTGCCCGGTCACTTGCACAGTGCGATGAGCCCGACTCAGCCCCCGGCGATTTTATAATGGATATCCTCCCCTCCCCACCCCCGGACACACCCCGCCACTCTATCAACCGGCGATAACAGGGACCGCGCAGATTGAGCCCCCGCTGCCTCAACTTCATTTCCCCTCAAGGTTCTCTCTGTCGCTGTATTTATTTTTACATTACCAACCTCCTCTTGAGAGGCCCATGCTTAGTTGTTGTCTTTTTATTACGGACACAGAGCGTAGGGCGTACTGATGGATGTAGTCTTCTTGAGACAAGGACGGTAGCTTCAAACAGCGAAGGCTACACGTGAAAAACATAAAGAAAACGTACACTTCGGGCCGAATCTTTCACCTAATTGACTCCGAACCTTTACATCTGCAAACAAATTGTTTGAGCAACTAGAATTTAAACGGCAGTACAGAGAGAACTCTTGTCCACTCCCGCCCACTGCAACCCTAGATCCCTTGCTGGCCCCGCTGCTGCCCTGTACCGTTTTGTCGAGTGCAACATTAATGAGGCACTTTGTCACCGCGGCCGTGATGAGCACATCTTTGGCGCACCCCTACCCTACCCTCCCCTCCCCCTCTCCCTCCCTTCCCCTCACTACCACCACCCCTACCTCGCCCCGCCACCTGACAAAGCCCAGCTCGATGCATTATGCACAAGCGACGAATGTTTTATGCGGACACCAAAATGAAATGCCTGCGTTTACCTCGCTCGACAAAAGCTACAAATGGAACAGCAGGGCAGGGGGAGGACGATGGTGAGGGTGAAACCGCGAAAAGGACTGAGCAAGGGGAGGGGAGGGGGGGGGGGGAGGGAGTAGCAGGTTGATAGACAGACTCCCTGCCGGTGCCCCCTCCTCCCTCTCCCCCGCAGCGACACTCTCCCTCCCTCTCCGCTCTGGTACGAGCCGCGAAATCTCTCGAGCAGCCTGCAATTAAGAAGCGATAATGGAAGGGGTCGGACTGCATCGGCTGCCTCCCTCATCCCCTGCGCTGCTCCGTCCCCGTCGAGCTCACACGCGAGTATAGGGGAAGTTGGGGGCAAAAACTTGTCGGCGGCACCTCGCCTGCACGCAGCCCGGCCCGGCCGGCGGGGGGAGGGGAGGAGGCCGGGGGCGGCGGCAGTGAAAGCATGTGTCCGATGACAACTATTTCAATTCCCCATCTGTTACTGCGACAGAGCCAGAGCCGCGGCAGCGCTTGTCTTGCACCGTATGGTGTGTCGAGTATGAATGGACCGCGAAGATAAAGACACACTAATGACCGACTGGGATTTACTATCTTTTCTAAGTTTCACTAAACCGACGACTTTCTGTAGTTGTACTGCATCGCATGCCCACAGCGCCTTACGGCCCTTAGCCAATGGGCAATCCAACCTACGTGGACGTGGTCCAAGGGAGGAGTTGAACAGCTGTTGAGTTGAACACTCTGAAGTGCATAACTAGTAGGAAAACATTTTACAGAGTTGAAGTTAACAATGGTTGAAGGGTTGAACGACTTTATTCGTGAGTGAACTTTCAAAGAATCTCAGTACTTTTCTTCGCTCAAACCACATTTCTTATATGTTTTCAAACATGTAGCATAACACAGGTGGTTAATTTGGAAGAAAGAAAATGTAAACATGCCACTGGAAAAACAGATGAGCTAAGTCGCACTTTTGATGGGGCAGAGGCAGACTGCACTGTAAAACGTAAAGCGAGCTTTCTTGCCCGAATAGAGCGACGAAGGTTTCATCGCTCCGTTAGAGCGATTTTTGCGAAATGACTCAAAACGAGTCTTATTCGTAACCAAAAATGTCTGCGAAAGCAGTTTAACTTCAGTGGACGACAACACAACGTCTTTTAAAACATGCAAACACGGAGTTTGTAGCGGCTGCGTATTTCGACGCGTGTTAACAACAATATTCTATCTACGGAGCGTCGTTTTCAAAATAACCTATCTACAAAGCGTCGTTTTCACAATGTCCTATCTGCTTAAGAAAATCATAGCAGATAGGACATTGTGAAAACGACGCTTTGTAGATAGGATATTTTGAAAACGACGCTCCGTAGATAGAATATTGTTGTTAGGACGCGTCGATTTAGTTGATCGATAGTCATTTTTTTTTCTCTATACGAGACGCTTCCTAACGCCCAATGATCAAAAAACCATAGTTACGACGCTATACGGCGATCTGCTGAACTCCGTGTTTATACAGAGCTCCATGGAACTGCATGTTTATACGAAGCCGCCACGAAGTCCGTGTTCATAGGTTTCAAAGGGTCGACTGATGATTTTAGCGGGGATGCAGGGTGTTTTGTTGTCAGTGCTCGGTCAGGGGACTCACCTCTATAATCATTACACTGTTAAAATCCTGCAAAGCAACGCTTTGCAGAACTGCGAAGTATTTATATTCCTTGTAATTACGAAGCATTTGCTTTTCAATTACAAAGTGATGCTTTGCAATTGCGAAGCAATGAAAACACGCTGAAAAGCATCACTTTGCAATTGCAAAGCATGACTTTGTAATTGCAAAATAAACACTGTGTAATTACAAAGGATCTAAATTCTTCGCCGTTCTGCAAAGCGTTGCTTTGCAGGAATTTAACAGTGTAGCTAACACCGCCCCCTTTTTATTAATCACCATTACGCTAAACCTCCACGTTTACCTCCAGTATCAGAAATCACTGTAAGACATACGGCTACCTGCGTAGCGTCCATATTAACTGAAAATGAACGTCCAATTTAACCGTTTTTAAACGGAACTAGAATGACGGTAGCCACGCCTGCATGTTTGGTTACACTAATAACTAAAACAAAACGGTCGATAAGACGCCACCACCACCGAGTACACCGGCACCGGCAGCATGGCGTTTAAGTCTCCACCAGCCAGCTGTGTGTACCAGGTGGCTGATTAACCCCGCGCACTTCTGTAGCTAGACTGTACCGCACGCACGAGTGCGGGCGGGCTTGCCTATCGCCCCTGTCCACGGCGCC